ACTAATTATTTATAGAACTCAAAAGAGAAAAATTGTGCAGTACATTTGTCTTGTAATTATGTCATTTGCGTACGAATGACAATAAATTCAATTAATATATAATATAGCACTTCATTTGATCAATATACCTTAACCATATTACGAATTTGAAAGGAATTGCAATTGACAAATCTAGTAATAACATCCTTAGTATATGTAACAGACAAGTGGGAGAAATGATTCAAAAACGTAATGCGGCAAAATGATTGGCCATAATGTCAGTGCAGATCAATCCGTAGACGGCCATATGCCATGGCGTTTTTCTCGGAAAATGGCCAATGAACAAAATGCCCAAATTTTTGTTCATACTTCTCACTTTTAATCAATGGATTTTAACCATTATGCTTTGTTGCGCAATTAAATCGACTTGAGGTGATGTCAAATTGCTCCATACATACCGTTCGATCGTACGTCTCATGTTGAAAGTTACATGAAGAACAGTTGAGCCTAATCTTGGCCATTCAAAACTAGTTTGCTAGTTTTATCTCCCCCATGACCATATTTCAAAGGCCAGTTGCATAACAAAGTTGTTAATGTACACATTTTCCCACTTGTTATTCACAATCGTCATTTTTTATGTAGGTAGCAAAGAAGCACCAAAAGATGGCGATTATGAGAAGGCAGTTGTCTCAAGCAATGTTGTTTACTCCGTGGACACGAGCACCGAACCAGCGACATTACACAAAATGTCGGAACTGTGTGGAAAAATACCGAAAATAAACATGCTGAACTCCGACAAGGTAATGAATGAATTAGGTAATGAATGAAGTCCTATCAATACTATACTGTTTTTTTGTGAAGGTCCTGTATATGGAGCATCTCTATTGGAACAATGTTACTAAAGGACGAAACCTCAACTAAACCAGCATTTTATTTATGCTGGATAGTTCCATCGTCTTAACTGTTCTCAAGTAAGGACCATCCGTTATCGGTCCAGTGTTGATACAAGAGAAAACCTAAACCAAGTAACATTATTTATACTTGAAAACTCTATCAGTTCTTTTAAAATTATTCTATCTGGAAATCCAGTAAGGGGTGTCCCTTGGTTGCATGTCTAATGTAATTTCATTAGTGAATCTTAAGTAAACCATACCTGTAGATTTTATTTTTATGGTTTATGTCATTTTGGACTCTATGCCAGCCCAGCCAGGCTTAGGTACGATATTTGGAGTTGTTGGCCAGTAACTCCAGGCTATAAGATAGCTAGTTGGACATGATTTTTGGAGTTTTTGGCCAGTGACGTTAGGTTTTGAAAGGCAGCTCCATTGCGTTCACATGGCCTGTAATGCCAGAACTCATAATTCAACTACGTTATGAAGTTTTGAATTTGGAGTTAGCCCCTTACATACTATGGAAGTAGCGTCACTCCATGCTTCCCTAACCTCTATACGTTTATTACGTTATGACTCTATCATTTCTAACTTCCTAGAGGTCCAGAAAAGGCTTTGTCTTATTGGTCCATTGTTACTACTAGAAGAAACCGAAATACAGCTGGAAGCGACTATACCAAATTCCCTTTACCCTTTATGTATAGAAAAGAAGAGTCTACATTTGTCTTCCATTACTATTTGATCTCCTATAGGCATTCGTATTTGACTTCGGTACTGAAGTGTACGCTTGGCTGGGTCGAACTAGCGACAAAGCAACGAGAAGCAAGGCAGTCGACTTAGCAATCGAGGTTCACAAATCGCCTTTTGAAGTTCACAACTCGTTAAATCCCATCACTCCAAATATGTCGAAGGATGACGACGAGCCCCGACAACTCAAACGACCCTCCTGGGCCTTGTTCGGGCGAATGACGGAGCGAGCAGAGACTATTTTGTTCGAGCAAAAGTTTCTGGACTGGCCCGATGTCGCGACGAAGATGAAAATGGATAAAGAGAAGGATATATTGAATAAGAATTTGAGTAAAGGGTATGCCAAGAGAATGGCTAAAGTAGAGGTAGGAATTTTTGCAGAAAATGTCGATAGATCTTTTTGCTGCTTGAGCGACCATCTTGAAATCGCAATGCATTATAGGGTCAACTTGGATCAATGCGCACGATCGTGATCTAGAAACTAGGAATGGATGGAGTGTCCTTTTCAATTTTTAAATCAGCCAATTTTGAAGCCAGAATATTTACAATCATGACATGAGATTTTAATCTTCAAAATCTTTGAAAATCGAGTCTAGCTACATTATCAAGCAAATATCTATGTAACTCGAAAGATATAGCTTCCCACATCTCTTCTAATGAGTTTTACAAACTTTCAAACACTAGATAAGGAGACTTGCAGCAGCCATCGTGGTCACTTGGTGTAACATCATTAGTTATTCACGTGTGAATTTAAGGGAGAAGAGAGGTCACTGTTGATAAATTTCTATTCAGATAATGTTTATCCTTTCCCATCGATAACCAGAAACTGTGACACTTACAGTAGATTCGTGGTCGTCACACAAATATGGCCGTCGTTGGCTGGATTAATACATAGCGGATACAATATCCAGTGCTAGTTTTTAGATCAGAGCGCTCGATACACCTATATAATTATTATCATTCTATTAAGTATTATTTCATTTTCTGTAGCATAATTTATGATATGTACTGTATGTATGCCCTCAAGGCATTGTTCCACCAACAATTGTTTTCCTCAATAATTGTATTGGTATCATAGACGTACGACATAACTTGTTAATGGATGATTCCAGCTATAGAGTAAATTTTGATCTGGGCAAGAAGAACAAAATCCATCACCACAGCTAGAAAGAGCATGTTAAAATTGGTGAAATTGCAAAGCTTGGGTGCGAAATGTTGTAAAATGCGGAAATATATAGCCCTGCGAAATTTGCAAATTTTGTATCGATTTGTATTACGCACGGGAAAATGCACCACTTTCATTAATCTGCATTTTTCATTTTCAGAAATCAGAATACCAGGCGGTTGAACTTGTTCCATATGATGGTGCAAAGATGGGAGAAGAACCACCCCCCGTCAAGTTGATTCTCGAAGGTATGACTAAACTAATTTGGTCTTAATTGTTGGTGGCGAAGTGGCGTGTGCATGTGCCTTTCAGCCTTTGTCTGGTTATAACTTCACCTCAATTTCACGTATGTGATAATTAACAATTACTCACCTCATTGTCGATGAATATTTATCAGAAATAATTTTAAAGCATACCTCTATACACACTATTAAACACAACTTTGTGGCTTTAATACTTAATACTGCTATTTACAGTAGGCAATAAGAATGGACCAATCGAGGACCCATGTTCTTTACTTGGACCTGTATAGGAGAACAATTTCGACACAACGTACTGGAAGTTAGTTTAGGTTAACTCCTGTGGTAGTAAGACTGAATCAATAACTCAGGAATGTCCTAGTACATGTTACTAGAACATATTGAGCTATGCAGTATAAATACAGAAATTTTTGCTTTGCAAACAGAAAAAATTTTTGCTTTTTAATTTTCCAATTGTGTGTCATTAAAATTTACAGTTAAAAATTTCAAACAACCAAATTGTTTTTGATTGAGCATGCATGCCTACCGTATATTGTTACCCAGTGAAACTGACGATAGCCGATTTAATTCGCGCGAAAAGCATATCCTCACAGACTCAGTTCAGCCATATAATAAACCGATTATTGACCTCGCTTGTTCGATCTGTACTGTGAAATATCAGACCTCTGTTTTTTGCATGGACCCCACTCCTTCGTCGCTCAGTCCATACTAAAAAACCTCGGTCTGATATTTCACAGTACAGACCGAACAAGTGAGGTCAATAAGCCGTTAATATTTTCCAAAGTTTGAAGACAGGCCGACGTCCAGAAATGCACAAACCAAAAGAGCGTGGTAAATTTTAACCCAAACTTATCGATAATCGTGCTGTCAACAACCGGCCTCAGCTAATGTACTTTTTCTGTAGGAGTGAACGTTGGTCGTGGTCGAGGTAGTTACGATGAGACCGAAAGAAGAAATTTGACTGTAACTACAAATTCTGTCACAGTATATCACAGTTCTGAGAAGGAGTCACGACAACTGGAGGAGAAAGAATGGGGACATTTTTATTCAGCAGAAAGTAAGCAAATGCATTCAAGCTCTATGATATAGTGTAGAAAAAAATCGGAACAACTGCTAACATTGCACAGTTGCATGTTGAAGGCAATGACGTATCGCTCATAAGATAGGGTTAGAGCAGGAACTAAGTGCGCTTTCCATTTAATGGCCTGACCGGTCAGGCCCGAATTTTTGTCTCTGTATCAATGGAAAGATCTGGTCTATGTTTCTAAATTATCTAGCGAAAATAAACCTCAATCTAATTTTGGCTAAATTTTCTGGTCAGATATGTCCGAAGTCCAAACGTTTTGTGTCCCATTCAACATTTGGCCGTTCTGACCGGTCTGGCCGTGTTAATGGAAAGCGCCCTAAGGGTCCCCAACAGTTGCCCCCTGCCGCAGCTACCATGCCTCTCTTAATGAAAATGGTGACAAGGTTACTCAGTTGTTTTCACCCACAAAACATGTCTCAGTTAAAGTCACTCGCAATAGATTTGGCGAAAACACAATGCGCACCGCGCACGTGACTATAGAGAACAATATTTTTCAGAAATGTTACTAACATAGATAATGAGTTTCCAAACTATCTAGTCTATTAACTATGGTTGAAACAAGCTCCTAAAGCCGTACCGTGGCGAAAATGTCGCGAAATATTGAGATGGGAATTTGGCTTCTACCAGATTCCTGGCCTTTGTTGAACGCTATAGTTCTCAAATCTAATTTGATTACATTTATACGAATTTTGTGCAGGTTATGTAATCAGGTGGAGTTACTCCGTGAAAGCATCAGGCATTCGTTCACTGAAAGGCGGGGAATCAAAACGGGATACAACAGGACGTGATCAGATCGCGTATTTCTTCTGGCATGGCAGAGATTGTTCAGCTAGTGGCAAAGGAACTTCAGCTTTAGCTACTATTGAATTAGATTCCGATAAAAGTCCACAGGTAACGTAAACATTACCTCGACTCGGTATCTTATATTACACCCTTAATAGAGAGGTTCAGATTTGATACTGTGTTGATATACAGTATACAGTTATATCAACAAGAGTGGGAATTGGAAAAACGAGAAATTGTGTAGAAACACGACTCCTATATAGCACAAGTAAATATAAAGAGAAGAGTTGACATTGAGTTATATCAACACGGCTCTTAGCCAGTCAGCGTTCAGAATTTACAAATGCTATATTATAAATCCGATTAACCGATCAGATGCGTACTAAGCCAGTGGGAGGTAGCGATAGTGGAAGTCAAATTTTAACCTCTCCAATATTAACAATGGACGGGTAAAGACCGATCGGAGAGGCGGTTGATCCAAGTGGAGAAACATGCGTTCTTCTTTGTGTAAATGCGCCAGAAAGACAACTAATTATCCGACACGACAGACATCTGTCTAATCCATTTGTCTGAATCAGGGATGGATTTAGTGGGAGATGCAGGGGGATAGCCTTGACAAAGTGGTGTACAAGGTGGTGACAATTTCCTTGAGAATTCCAACTGTTGATGACAGTTACAAAAACACAAATAAAGTAGAGGTACAGTGAGCAAGCAAGACTACGGACTAGTGCCGTATCTCCCTCTGCGAATGATTACACACTTGGTCACCGGTCATACCATGAACCATGAGTAAAGCTTCCCTATCAGATCTGGCTGGATCCATCATTGGTCTAAATGAACTTGTACGCTGGCATAGTTCGTTTTTTACGAATTACCCATCTTTCTACAAATACAGCATTAGTTCGTAAGTAAATGAGTAAGTGGGGCTGTCCTAATCATCCTTACTTCCAGCCGAGAGCTAAGCTAAATTGCGAAGGACGCAGCTCAATGGCTTTCTATGACTCATGTCTAATCACGGGGCACAGCTACGGTGGAAGGGTCAGTTTGGGGTAATCCCAACCCACCCTGTCGACATTCCCTGTGGAAGGAAACTAGAGAACCCGGAGAAAGATAATGATTTTCGGAAGAGCGTTTACTAACTCTGTTCACATAAGTACCATGAGTCCGTTTTGGAAATACTTTTATAATTTTACATTTAGATCATGGTAGATGAAGGACATGAATCCGCGTGTTTCCTGAATATGTTTGATGGTCAAATGATCGTTCATCACGGAAAGTAAGTGAATGCATGGTATATCAATGTTCCTGGTACTGTATCTATATGAAAGACATTCAATTAATCTATAATGTACTGTTTCTTATTTTAGACTAGATGAAGCAAAATCAATTGGTAAGCATGTAATTTCTATTCTTCATATGCACAGACAGAGTTTGTATTTCGAGATGACCTCTAATTAATCATCGTTGTTAGCTAAGTGAATCTTTCAATCGATATGGTTATTTATTGAGTAACTTTGATTTCAGAGGAAGATAATGTTCTTATGTACTGTGTACATCACGACGATGAAAGAGAAATTAGTTTAACTCAAGTCGAAGCCAGGTAATGAATACAAACTTGGGAAGGTTTCGGCTATTTTATTTTTTAACAACTACTGCATACCCTTATCATACACTGCCACGGTTTCCAATACCCTTATCAGTTTACTTTTCCAAAACTACACACGTAAAAACGCACAACTTTTAGCAAACCTGCAGCAGACATGTACCAATGCTGTTTCAACAACTTGTTATCAGGATGTGTTCGTACAGCTTGTTCCCAGCTTGGTTAAAAGTTGTTAACGGCTTATTGACAACTTGCTGCAAGGTTGTTGACTCAACAGACTTGTTCCAAGTTCTTCCGACAACTTGTTATCGTCCTGCAATTCAGCAACGTGTTAACAAGTTGTGAGCGAGAACCTTGCACCACTTGATAAGATGACAACATTGCATGTTACAAGTTGTTGACAAGCTTGCTACAACCCTATTGCGAACACATCTTATTGAAGAGTTGGATGACTGAGAAGGGCAGATTCCTACGGCTTAAGATCCCAATAACTTAGTAACTTATCTATTATAATCTTGTGTATAGATCTTCCAATTTGAGATCGCGTTCATCTTTCGTTGTGGTTGTTATCGATGAAGCTGTTGGTATTTGTGTCTGGCATGGTGCCAAATCAACAAAAGAGAAGAAGCAAGGTGCTTTAAGAGGAGCTAAGAGATTGGCAAATTGGTAAGTTGCTATAGACCGTCATGTCACTATCTATGCGGATATCAAACCGAACATACTTTATTTACACCAGGTAGCGCTATCAGTAAGGCTCGCAGGAAGAAAAATTACCTTTAATTGTTCAGTGTTACTTCTGGAGAAAAGCTCAAGAAACCTTGGTCTCAAGTAGGGCCATCTCTTATTCGTCCATCCGTACCACATGCAGAAATGAAACTTGAAGAGACTGCATGAAATTTATGCTGGATAGCTTATCAGTTCTGATCAAGCTTTTCTCTCCATTCCTAATAGATGATTCCAGTTAGAGACTAAATTTTGATCTAGGCAAGAAGAACAGAATCCATCACCACAGCTAGAAAGAGTGTGTTCAAATGAGTAAAATTGCAAAGTTTGACCGCGAAATGTTGTAAAATGAGGAAAATATAGCCCTACGAAATTTGCAAATTTTGTATTAATTTGTATTACGCGCGGGAAAATGAACATATTTGGGCCGAATTTTAACATTCTCTTTCTCATGGTGATGGATTTTGTTCTTCTTGCCTAGATCAAAATTTAGTCTATAGCTCGAATCGTTTATTGTTTATTCTCGATTTTTCTCGATTTCTTAACTGGTCCTGTAATCATCCAGTGTTATACAACATGAAATGTGATGTTATTTCAGGTTTCAAGGTATATTTGAGATCAATAAAGTTGACATGGTTGAAGAGGAAGAAGGCCACGAAGGTGGTCTGTTCTGGAAAGCTTTGGATGGCAAGAATGATTATGGATCTTTACAAGAAGGTAAAAGAGATAATACATCGGCGTAGACTTCACGGGTGGATGGGAATTGGGTTGAGTTCTACAAATCTTTTCCCTGGATTTGAAAATGCCATTAAGATACTTTTGCTCGAAACAATCGCAAATTAGCTCCAAAAAGAACCAATCAATGTTGTAATAAAGATCGTCCAAGTGTGGTGATTCTAGTGTTGCATCTGAAACGTTGCTTCACCGCGGTGGGAATCGAACGCACAACCTTTGGCTTGCTAGTTCAGTGGTCTTCCAAATGTCGTTCAGTTGTACCAATTTGATAATTTTAATACTGATGCTACAATAATCACTATAAGGCTTTTAGAATATATTGGAGGCGGTGGGGTGTGTGTTTGCCGCCTCCCCGCCAGGTGCCCGCCCCCAGATTAGTGAGAATGGGGTGGATCTGTGGGGTGGATGGGTTGGCACAGGGGAGGAGGGGGTGTATGCATGTCATTCATGTTCTAATGGTCTCCAAAACCAATCTACATCCAAATAGCTAGTTACTCCTAATTTATCGGTATTAACGCTTATATAAATTGAATGTTTCGACTTTCGATGGATTCGTTTGTATATTTCGTCAGCCATTTCCCTAATTTCTTGCGGATTTGGACTTTCTTGAACTTTCTTATTTTTTTATTTACAGTCAGTGGCAAGTGCGACAATCGTGTAAGGCTATTCACATTCCTCAGTACGGAAGGACCATTTCTTGCGAGAGAAATCTTCAATCCAACACGTGGTGAACACGTGTCACCATATCCCTTCAGACAGGCAAATCTTTACGATGCGACACAACCAGGTAATATTATATACTGCTGCAATAAAGAAAACTATATAACTAATAAAATAACAGTACGCAAATTTAGGTAAATGCATGAATTAAGCATACGTGACCTTGGTGCCAAAAAATGAAAGTTTCAGCAGCTAGTTAAAGGACTTAAAATTTAGTAAATTTCTGATGTTTGAACCATTGATAAAACACATAACAAATTTCTCGCCCATGAACTCACAATGCGTTTTGAACTTTTAAATTTCGTGCGCAAGCTATTTTTAATGCTGCTAAAAGAAACCCCTCCTGCTTTGGAAAATTTATATTTACGATTTTTTTTTGTTTATTCTACTGTACATTATAAGTACCCAAACAATCTATGTTTGTCAAAAATTTCATGAAACGAACGGATTTGTGGAATTGAGAGCCGTTTTAAAATTGTGACTTAATTGTCTACTTTTTTATACACCCTGTAGGCACAGTTTTCCCCGCTTTATTTGCATGCACTGTTGCTGCTACGAGCTGGCTTACTGAGAGTTGTATTTTCTGTAGCGTTATTTCTTATTGATGCTGTACACGAGATGTATCTGTGGCAAGGATGGTGGCCTGGGAATCCTGAGGAATCTGAGTCTGCAACCACCACTGGGTCAGCGGAGTTCAGATGGCACAGAGATAGAAAACTTGCAATGCAAAGTGTGCAGTCGTATGCTGATTGTAAGTACTTGGGTTTTCAAAACGTTTGCGTTTTTTTGTTGTGGCCTTTAGTTTGTGTTTATTATTTTGGGGTTTTTTATGTGTCAAACATGCTTGTTTATTTCAACTGTATTGACACTTATGAGAGCGAGTAGTTTTCATTTGTATAGGTATGGTATGTACAGTATTTGTAGAGGTATAGGTATGGTATTGTATAGTATGGTTTCGAGTACATTTTAGAGACGACCAAAAGTCAAAATTGCACGAGTCGAAAAGGCGAACGCAATTTGAAGTCTTTGACAAACTCACGAATGTATGTTACCTAATAATATACATGAAAAAATTATGCAGAAACGAACTCGTGCATAGACGAAACACATGCGAAATAAGTTTTCAACTGTCAGAAGTCAAAACTGAAATCAGAATGTCTGTTGTTTGGACGCTTACCATGCACGTATTCATTTTTTTTATTTGAATTTACATTTTTGGTACTGTATTTTTGATAAAAATGCACTAGTCTTAGCCAATCAGGATCGAGTAATTTTTCATGTATCCATGGGTATTGTTGTCACTAGGTTAACCGCCTCCAATTGAATTCCAACTGCTGCACACTGCCTCA